AAGTTGAACAAATTTATGCACACATCCCACACAGCTCCCAGGGCGAGCTAAATGGGATTTTTGAGGCCAGCGCAAGCATAAATAAACACACACGCACACACATATATATATAATATATATGCATGCATATATTAATAGAGTGGAAACAACTTAATGTGATCGAAACTAATCTGAAGCTCATGACAATTCTAACAGTTGCGCAATCTGCGTTCGAATTTATGGCTCCAGTGTGCCAATAAGAGATTCCCAATTGGCATCCTATTGGAAAGCTAAGGCGCATTCCAATTAGTTCGCAATGCTGCGGACAAAGATTTCGGCTGACAAAATGGCGGCCGAGCAGGGCTGCCAGACTGTCATCAACACGTCAAGTTACATCATTTGGCTCAATCTACTGACTTTGCCTTTGGCTTCGTATCGATATTTTTGAATCATTACATCAACTCTGGCCATGTCACATTCGGTGTGAATTTAAGTTGCTCAGATCGTTCATTTCAATCTCGACTGTAAAAACAAAAGCATATAAAAAGAAAATTACAAAAAAAAATTAGTGAGAATAGAGCTGAAATGAAAAAATGTCTGCATTCTATGGCTTAAATTTGAGGCCATACTGCAAGTATGTCCAAGTGGTAACAAAACCACTTCACATCTCGAGTGTCGCCCTGGACGAGGGCGACTTTGTCAAATTCTATTTAACCATTCACAATCGCAAGTATACCGTTGCCACGCTGAGCAAGTGCACGCCACAAGCGGCTTTGGACTTGAACTTCAGCGAGGGCGATCGCATGACCTTTCAGGCAGTCGGCTTTGGGAGCATAACCATATTGGGCTATGTGCACAGCATCCAGACGGGTGTCGTCCCTAACTCCATTTTGCGTCACCCAAGTGCGCTGGCCAACAGCAGGTCCTCGAGCAACTGGTTTCTCAATGGCGCTGACAATGGCTACTACGACGGGGCAGGCAACAGGGAGGCATATCGTAGTGACAGTCAGCACGGCAATCGTGGACCAGTGCCCAACAGCTATGAACGACGCAACGTTGGCACTCTGGAGACTGAGTCCGACAGTGACGAGAAGCTCGACAGATTCGAGGATTCGGACCTAACGGAGGAGTCGGACAACATTAACGAGTCACGCGGTATTGGAGATCTTCACGAGGCTGAGGGGTCCAATTCGTCGCAAAATATCAATTGGACGAACAACATGGGCAAGCACAATAAGCAAGTGCAGTCCGGGATGCATGGTGAGCAAAGACACGAGCAAGGACCCCAGGGTAACTACAGTAGCAACATCTACTATGGCGGCTCCATACTCTATGGCAAGGCAAGGCAGTACCGCGCCGCTGGACAGGGCGACAGCAGTGGACGAGACGGACTTAATAACATGGCGACTCCCTTGTTCAGCAGCAGCAGCAGCTACACTGGCGGGCAGTCAAATGGCACTCGGCAGATCGAGACCAACTATGCAGCTCAACATGGCACTGGCGGGCAGTTCAACTATTGGCGGGATGCTGACGCTAAACGTCACACTGGACCGAGTGTGTCTAATAAGCCAAACGATTCGAAGCGGATAGGTGACCTTGCTCAACTGCTCAATTTTGGGCCGTCCGGCCAGGGGGGACAGACCAGCTCGAGGCCCAAACACGCAGTCAAATCCAGAAATGTGTGCACTAGCAGCAATGGTGCTGCGGGTGGGTCCAGTGATTGTAGTATTCCAGAAATTCAATGGTACACGGCAGCTAGAGATGATGAGCTGCCTCAGGAGTCAAAGGTATTTCAGGACAACGGTACGGACGCTGATACTAAAGGCAAATTCCAAAATAGTAAGCAGAACAACAACATGATGAAGGACAACAGCTCGCATCCGTTTGATCACCATAATGAAGCGACTTCCGCTGGGGTCTTTCGCAGTTCCAATGGTGACGACATATCGCCGCCGGCCAAAAGGGCCAGAAAACCAAATATTGACGACAAAAAGCTATTCGATCAAGCTGAAGATCCATAGGATCTTGCATAACACACAACAGACTGATCGCAATATATATATCATGATGTGGTAAGCACATATCATGATCTAACACTATATAAAAGTAACAAAAAGAGAAAAGAGAGAAAAAAGAGAGGAAGGGGCAGAGAGAGGAAGGGGGAGAGAGGAAGGGGGAGAGAGAGAGAGAAAAATAGAGCGAGAGAAAAAATAGAGGGAGGGAGAAAGGGAGAGAAAGGGTGAGAGAGAAGGGGAGAGGGAGAAATAAGGAGAGAGGGGGAGAGGGAGAGAGAGGGAGAGAGAGGGGAGCAGGAGATAAAGGGAGAGAGAGGGGAGCAGGAGATAAAGGGAGAGAGAGGGGAAAGGAAAGAGAGAGAAAGAGGGAAAGAGAGAGAAAGAGGGAAAGAGAGAAGGAAATAGAGAGATGGAAATAGAGAGAAGGAAATAAAGAGAAGGAAATAGAGAGAAGGAAATAGAGAGAAGAAAATAGAGAGAAGTAAATAGAGTGAAGTAAATAGAGTGAAGGAAATAGAAAGAAGGAAATAGAGAGATATGAAAAGAGAGGGAAAAAGAGAGATGTAAAGAGAGAGAAGGAAAAAACGAAAGGGGCATAGAGAGGGAAAACAGGGAGAGGGTAAGACGGTGAGGGAAGGAGAGGGGAGAAACATACAGAGAGAGAGAAACATACAAAGAGAGACAGAAAGAGGCAGATAGAAAGAGAGGAAGAGGGGGGAGACAGATCCAGAGGGGGAGACAGGGAGAGATCTAATAATACATAAAAATAAACTCATAAATTCTGACGAACTAAACCGAAAGAAGCAGCGACAGGATCGTCCAATGCGTATATTTAGTTAATAATAATTTTGACATAGAAATTGAAATTTTGAATTGTTTACACGCTAAATAAAACTTAAATCGTAATTAATAATCTTGCTTCTATCGTAAGCTGAACAGTTGGGAAGGTGAAGGCCGTCCGTTCGCTGATGGAGACATTGATGGACGTACAAGCACCTGCAAATTAAAGCCATTTCATATTGGCACACTGGGCCGAGCCCGGCGCGCCCCTTAAGAGCCCAAAGCTGCCAAATGCCGGGACTGAGTGACAGTCTTAATTACAGAGAGATTAGCATGGTTGGGCAGACGACGTTTGAGCGTCGCCCACAGTCTCAGTGGCAGTGCTGAGTGTCTGCCTGACGAATTGTATTCAATGTCACGTTTCATGACGATGATGCTGCGAGCTGAAATGCCAAAAGAAAGACAGATGGAGAGAGAGAGAGAGAGAGAGAGAGAGAGAGAGAGAGAGAGCGATGCTGTACAGGTGCAACGGCAAACGCTTCCTGTACTGCCTACTCCTTCTGCTCCAGGCCGTTGCAGTTACTTATTTTTGCTTTTGTTACATTTGATTGTCGCAAACGAAGTGGAAAAGCAAATGTTGAGCGCACGCACACAAACACACTCGCACACACAGACACACGCACACCATTCCAAGCACTGGAATGCACAGTAATTACTTACTCTTCAGCTGGCAGCAGGGGTGGGTTGGAGCAAGGAAACTGGTTTTACTTTAACGCTTCTATGCCTTAGCCATTTACACTCTTTATTTGCCTTTCGTTCCCTTGTATTTCTTTTGCATTCTTTTTCTTTTCTTTTTACTGCAGTTTTTTTGCAAGTGATAATTGAAAAGCAGCAGCAGAAATTATTGGCCTTTGTTTGTGCGCACGCAGCAAACGGACTGCGGGCGGTCGCTTGGTTGATGGCGCGTGCTGTGTGGGCGGTTGGTAGGATGACGGCTGTGGCAGACGTATTGTAAAAGTCATTCAGATAAGTAAAATACAATAGAGAAAGAATGCGCTCTAGCTACTACAGATAATATCGTTTTAATGGAAATGGCAAAATTAATAACTCGCCACGTTGGGCGCCATGAGCAACGATAACAGAAGCCAATTAATACTGTAATGTACATATGTACATACATACATATGTCTGTATGTGTGTTTAATTCCATGCTTACAGCTCGAAGAAGTATATTAGTTATCAATTCAGGTTGGCTTGGCTACTCTCTTACAATTCCTTTTGCAATTATGCTTGCTTTTCCAATCAGCTAAAACGATAGTTTTCCATTTTAATGGCTTTTGTCGATTTGCGTATCGTTTCTGTGTAATCAAAACGCCAATGCTTTAGCTGCGCACGCAAAGTTTTAGCCAAAACATGGCACAGCAGCTAAAGAAGCATAAAAACATTAGCTAATTGCTATGTAATTCCAATTCGTGTCACATTGACACACACACACACACATACACACATGCACACTCACATATCCATACACGCAAAGCTAAGCTGAAATCTTGCTAAAGAACAACAAAAGCGACACAAATAAAGTTGACTTCCAGTACAGCGTTCATATCTGTTTCACTCTCCCTCTCTCTCTCTCCTGACGTGTCTTACTTATAATTGGTTTCACCGATGTAACAGAATGTGCTAGAAATTCAATTAGTGCGCGTGAACACGCAGCTCAATGAACAGTTACAGCAAACCTCGTTGCATATTTTGTTGCGCAATTTGCAGCGCACAAAATGGCAAGTTATCGGCTAACTAATTTAATTGTCCATCCCACTATATGCACACATATATGTATATTTGTCCTTTGTATAAATATTTTGATTTGCATATTTATTTATTAATTTTATAATACTATACCAAAAATGATTATTATTGCAATGTCAGACAACAGATAATATAACGATTCTTGATTATCTTTTTCAGACTAGATATAAATTTGTCGCAATTGCTCAAAAAATAATTGTTCATAACTATACTTATTTCAAAATTTACGCGCGCGTACAAGTTTTTGAATTTTCGCTTAAGTATTGAGGGTAAATTGAAAGCCAGTTGAGTAAAAATGTAAAACAGCGCTGCCACCCATTAGCGTTGCCGTACCACACCATGTAGTTTGCGATAGACGGGCACATATGCTCAGTGTTGCTATATCGATTGATTAAAAGTACATAGAGAAAATCGAGACGTCCATGCATTTGCACATCTCTAAAATTTGGCTAAGACGCTAAACAACGCAAAAGGAGAGAATGAAAATTTTGCTTTATCTTGCGCCAAAATATAATTAAAAGCTATAAAAACAATTAAATTCAGACTGAAACACAAAAAGCACTACTAACGATCCGTATAGCAGTGAACACATACCAAGAAAACAATAATAATATCAAAATAACAGCGCAACGCGGCAAAGCGTGCGAAAAAGAGTTCACTCAGAAGAAGGTGGAGTAGGAGGTGGACTTTGAAGGGAATTAAAAGCAATTCAGTAACGTAAACAGTGAGTTAAAAATGTACAGCCACCATTAATACACAATAAAAGTGGCGTTGGTTTCGGATTACACTAATTACGATCGGTATTTACAAAACATGCAGGTAAGCCCCAACCATTTGGCAATTTTTATTTTTATTTTAACCATACGTGTGTTACAGCAAGTGGACGATCCACCATCGCTGCCCGTCGGCACCGAGGTGAGCGCCAAGTACAAAGGAGCCTTCTGCGAGGCTAAAGTCAGTAAAGTGGTTCGCAACATCAAAGTGAAGGTTGCCTACAAACAGGGCCTCGGCTCAGGTATCGTATCGGACGATGCTATCAAAGCGACACCTGGCCAGTTGCGCGTTGGCGCCGTCGTTGAAGTGCGCCATCCGGATCGCAAGGAAAATGTGGAGGCGACCATTACCAAAATCCAGGACTGCTCTCAATACACGGTCGTCTTTGACGATGGCGACATCACAACACTGCGCCGAACAGCGCTTTGTCTAAAGAGTGGCAGGCATTTCAATGAGAGCGAAACATTGGATCAGCTGCCGCTAACACATCCGGAGCATTTTGGCAATCCGGTGGTAGGCGGTCGTCGCGGACGACGCCGCGGCCAGTTGAACGATGGCAGCTCCGACGATGATGACGAAAGCGATGCCAAGGAAGTGGTCAACGAAAAGGAGGAGCACATTGGCAAAGTGGTTTGCGTTGAAACCGAGTCCAAGAAGAAGGACAAAGAGAAATGGTTTCCCGCCCTCGTTGTGGCCCCCACAGCGCAGGTCAGCAAACAGGTACATAAGAGCCGATTCGATTTCCAATTACCATTTTAATTGAATCAATTACAATTAATAGGCTACTGTGCGGATACGCGTCAAGGACGAGTATCTGGTGCGCTCTTTCAAGGATGGACGCTACTATACGGTGCCCAAGAAAGAGGCAAATGAGTTTACTCGTGAAATGGCCAGCAAACAGGACGTGCCCGCTGTGAAGGCAGCTTTCGAATTTCTCGACAGCAGCACATTGCCTGCCCACTGGGATCGGGACTCGCTGTTCGGCCTGTCCAATCTAACCAGCGATGATGAGGGCGAAATTGATTCGGATTCATCGGACGACGAGCCACACGAGGAGAAAGATCGCTTCGTTGCACAGCTATACAAATATATGGACGATCGAGGCACACCATTGAATAAGGTGCCATCGATACAAAGTCGCGACGTGGATCTGTATCGTCTGTTCCGGGCGGTGCAGAAACGCGGCGGCTACAATCGCGTTACCACCAAAAACCAATGGAAAGTCATTGCCATGCGCCTGGGCTTCACGCCATGTACTCTGAGTGTCATGAATCTGGTGAAGCAGGCGTATAAGAAATTCCTACAGCCCTACGGTGACTTCCATCGCAAACTCGGCTGCTCCATGCTGATGACATCGCGCAATTCGAATCGCAGCAAGGGACGCAGTCTTGTGCGTGCCAATTCGGTTGCATCGCCCAAGCCGGCGGACACCACCAAAATGGAAACCATAAGCAAACTGGCGGTGGCCAATCAGACAACGATTGCCGCCAGCAGCAGCAGCAGCACCAGTGCTGCTGCAACAGCAACAGCAGCCAGCAGTAGCGGAAGTGCAGCAACTGCCACGCCCGTACGCGCCGCCTCAACGGCCTCACAGTCGGCCACTGAGGAGTCGGAGAATACCAGCGAGTCAAGCGTGGTCGTGGAGCCAGTTAAGAAGCAGCGCAAAGCATCCGCTGCCAGCAGCGGCAAAGTCAAAAGTCTAGTGGAAAAATATGAGGAGAAATCATCGTCCGTTTCGAGCATTGGGCCAGTCGCAACGGCTGCCCTTAACACCTCCAATGTCAGCAGCTCATCGTCTACATCGACAGCTGCAGCAGCAGCAGCTGCAGCAACAACAACAGCAGCAGCAGCTGCTGCCACTGTCAAAGCCGAAGCTGAGGCCGATATGCCACTGGCAAAGATCAAGGCTGCGGCCGCATCAACGCGCAACAGCATCGACAAGGAGCCCAGCGCTGGTGGCAGCAATGCATCCAGCAAAGCAACCTCGGAAACGCAACGCAGTCGGGATGCATCACCCACAGCTGGTAAGAGCAAGAGATTTTCATTCAACATTACAATTATGCCCCAACATGCAGTTTAATCTATATGATATAGCCCCGACCTTATGGAAAGACTCGAAGGTTATCTTTCCATCGACTTTTAATTGTCCACTTGCACACAATGATGTTTCCGGTAGCTTCTAAATTAGCTTCACTTTCACCTTGTGATAGGCATTGGCGAGCACGCCGCGTAGATTCCATATGTTCTCAAAGGTCTCCGGCTGCACGTTGTAGGCGGAATCCACTGCCTTGGCCCAAATCTCTAGTTCGGACTTAGTTTGTTGCTCTTCGGTCACGGGCAAGCGCACAGTCCACAGCGACCAGCCATAGTGTCGTCCGTCGGGCACATTCTCCTGCTCCAATTTGGCAACATGCCACGATTTGCCACCATCGTTTGTCAAGTCCACGCGCTCAATACGTCGCCCACCGCCGCTCCAGGCGTAGCCGTAGACCGTGATGTGACCCTTGTCAACTTTCACGCGTTCCTCGGGCATCGGCGAGCAAATGGCCGAGGTTACAGGCATTGCCTGTATGGCCTGGGCCTTGCTGAAGTCCACAGTATCCCAGTCTGTGCTGGGGCTGAAGCCTTTGTAGTCATTCTGCTGCCAGTGGGAGTCGGACTCGTGATCGGCAACAACGATGCGGGTCAACCACTTGACATTGCGAGCACCCACAGTGCCGGGCACGATGACCCTGATGGGATAGCCATGATCTCGAGTCAGCGGCTGGTCGTTCATTTCGTAGGCGAGCACCACATCGCCGCGTGGATCTAATGCCTTGGCCAGTGGTATCGAAGCCCCAAATGGATGTGCAGTCGGATCCAAATCGGCGCCCTCGAATATGACCTGCAAACGCTCATCGGGCTCAACGCCCTGGGCACGCAGCACATCGCACAGGCGTGCACCCGACCATTTGGCATTGCCCACAGCTCCAGCGCCCCAGGAGAGGCCTGCATCACAAAGATTAGATTAGATTAGATTAGATTGGGCTATGAGCAGGGACAACAGTTGGGATTCACCTTTGACGGTCTTGATGCGAGTCATTTCGGAGCGGCGATTGCCGCCGCACATGATGGCCGCTGTAACCGTGTGCTTGGGCAGCTTCTTAATCTCATCCAGATTGAAAGTACACTTCGGCTTACCAGCGCCCGCTTCCACCTCCAGCTCAAGCTCATAATCCTCGGCCTTTAGACATGGCACCGGCAAATGGTTTCGCACATAGAACAGCTCGTTGGGCGTGTAAAAGTGCTCGCCCAGCATGCTGATTGGCGGCTCCGCATTGAACGGCCGCTTGCTGGCTGGCTTGAGCAGCTCATGTCGTTTCGGTTCCTGTGCCCAAGGTGAGCCTAGCTCATCGCTTTCGACTGCTTCCACTTTGTTCAGATTGCCAATACGAAAGCTCTCCAATAGCTGGAGCACCTCCAGCGTATTATGCTGCTGGTAGATGGCCCAGAAGGGATCGATGGCGTTGCCAGCGGCCATCAGGATTTTATCGCCGCCTGGATGATTGGGCGCAAACTGGGTGACATCATAGACGCCCAGTCCATAGGTGACCCAAATGCCATTCTCTGGCTTATTATGTTGCAACACATCCTCCACACTGTATGTGGGCAGATCCGTACGTTTTGTCTTATGCCACAGACGTGCCTCATCTTCAGCGTCTAACGTTGCTGCAGTCGGTGTTTCCTTTTTGGGCTGCTCCAACTCCACTGGCTGCCTGCGCTTCCTGTCCAGCTCATTGAACAGCCAGTAGCCAGCACCGATGCCGCCCACCGTAGCAGCAGCATAAAGTGCTCGACTGTACTGACTGCCGCTGCCCCCTTCCTCTCGCTGCTGCTGCCCAGATGTGCTTGTCGCCAGCAGACGATGACGTTGCTGACTACTCAGGCGCAACTGTTTGCTGGCCGTGGTCAGGAAACGTAGACGCATGATCTGTATATTATATAAGCATTTGCTGCTAGGCAAATAAGTCCGTTTAATGCTTCGTCGCAACGCCGATTGTCACATTATCTGGAACGCGCGGCGAGAGTGAAACGTTTCGCATTGGCTTTTTATTTGTATTCGTAATATTTTGGCTTTGGCCCCCAAAAGTTGTCGCAATGTTTGAACTATTGATAAGATCAATGTGATTTCGATTTAATCTTTGCTCTCTTTCTTTAATCTCTTCTTTATTGGGGGTCTGTTTTGAGCTTTCCTTTTTTTTCGAGCTTTGTTTGTACTCGCTCTTATGCCGCCGGCAGAAGCACGTACACAAGCACACATACGCACCTGTTAGCAACTTTTTTTTTCAGTTTTGTACTATCGATAGCTCGTGACGCGCTATCGAAATATCACATATCGCAAGCGCTGGCCAATATTGTTAAACTATCGAAGAACAATTTAAGCTAAAAATGGCTACAAATAAATGAAAACATAAAGTAAAATTGTTTGCTTCTAATTATATATGCTGTAATATATAATATTTTCATTATTACAATTTATATTTGAAATAAGTGATCAATAACAGATCATCTTCACAATTTTATGGATTTCTTCAAATTTCATGAAGACCTGAACTTTGAAAAAGGCAAAATCTGACCTGAATTCAGCTAAATTGGCAATTCCGATGGTAATGACGTCGATTGAAGCACAACAAATTAGTTAATAAGGGTATTCCCATTGGCAATAAATCAATTAATTGCTACTTTTGTTATTAGAATACCCCTAACACAAAAAACAGTTTGTCTCTATATATACTTACTCACGAATTTAGCAATAGCAACAGTTATTCATGCTCATTTGTCTCTCTCTAACCCGTGCAGCAACTGGAACAGCACCAACTGCAGCGGCAACAGCAACAAACACAGCCGCCACCACGAAAAAGGAGAAACATCAACAACGCAAACAGGTGGACAAAAACGAAGAGAAACGCGGCAAACGCAAAAAGGACGAAATAACGGTCGAGAAAATTGATACAGGTGATTTTATAGTCGGCATCGGTGACAAATTGAAGGTCAACTATCACGAAAAGAAATCACCCAGCTCCCATGGCAGCACCTACGAGGCGAAGGTCATCGAGATCAGTGTTCAGCGCGGCGTGCCCATGTACTTGGTGCATTACACCGGCTGGAACAATCGCTACGACGAATGGGTGCCGCGCGAACGCATTGCCGAGAATCTAACCAAGGGCTCCAAGCAGAAAACTCGCACCATCAGCACAAGCAGTGCCAATAGTGGCGGTGCACCCGCCCAAGCCTCCAACACCACTGGCAACAGCAATAATAATAGCGGCGGCAGCAGCAGCAGCAACAGCGGTCCCAACACTTTGCCACTTAAAGATGGCTCCGGCAAAGCGGAGCAACAGCAGCAGCAGCAACATCCAACTGGGCCGGGCACGGGCGCCTCTCTGCTTCACGGCTTGACCAAGACGCCGACCTCATCGGCGGCGCTCACAACCCAATCGGGTGGCAAGCGTGGACGCGGACGCAGCGACTCCATGCCGCCGCGTTCCACAACACCCTCGTCGGTGGCCTCGAATTCGAGTCGCACCAAATCGCCAGCTGCTTCGCAGTCGCAAGTGGCACTGAAGCATAAGCGACCCACGCGAACGCTGCCAATGAGCAGCAGCAACAGCAGTCAGGCTCGTCGCATCTCTGCCTCTGCCTTCATCTCGGCAAACGTTTCGGACGCCTCAATGGGCAGCGATAGTGACACCGATTCCGATGAGCCAGTGCGTCGTCCCAAGCGTCTCAGTGCCAAGGACGCACAGCAACAGAGCAAAGCAAAGGCAGCTGCGTTCAGTGGCAAAATGGCGGCAACGATCAGACGCGCCACTGGCAACGACGAGAGCGACGACGACGATGACGAGGAGCAGCAGCCGCAGCAGCCGCAGCAGCAACAGCAACAGCCGCCGCCAAGCAAGCAACAGTCGCAGGCTGCCCAACAGCAGCAGACGTCGACCATTCAGCGCCCGCGTGCCGGCAATCGTGCAATGAGCAGCGGCGGCGCCGGCAAGGGGCGCGACTACGATCTCAGCGAGATACGTTCGGAGCTTAAGGGCTTTCAGCCGCAGCTGCTGGAGCGCAAAGATGCCATCAAGAGCGAGCCGAGCGATGTGCAGACCAAGCAGGAGCCCAAAACGGGCAGCTCGACTGAGCAATCATCCGAGACGGACTCTTACATTGACGAGGACTCGCAGTCCTCCGAGAAGTTGCCCTATCGCAAGCAGCAGCAGCAGCCGGCGTCGTCCAGCGATAAGCGAAGGACTGCAGCAAATGCAGCAGCAACTGCAGAGCTGCAGCAGCAGCAGCCACATGCTGGCGACACAACGACCAAGAAGGAGTCCGAAAAGCAGCACATCAAACATGAAACATTCGCTGGCGAGGATCGTAAGCCATTCAAGACGGAGCCCAAGGATGAGCCGGCAAAGCCATTCCGTAGCGGTGCCAACATAAGGCACACAACAACAGCAACAACATCCTCAATAATTGCACCGGCGCGTTTTGGCGCCAACAGCAGCAGCAGCAGCAGCAGCGGCAGCGGCAGCGGCAACAGCGGCAGCGTCGATGGCAGCACAGCCAAACTAATTTCGTTTATTATGGAGAACACGCTGACCTTGACAAAGATGGATAAAACTGAGACGCCAACGAGCTCAGTGGCAGCCACAGCAACTGCAACTGCAGCAGCAGCAGCAGGAGTAGCAACACCGTCGCCCGCCATTAAGTCGGAGCTGGCAAAGAAGCAGCAGGCATGCAGCTCCGCTGCCTTGGATACTGGCAAGAAGTTTGCTGAGCCAGTGCTGCATAAGGAGACGGCGACATTAAAGGTGGAACTGCCCGCTGCCTGTTCGCCCTCCTCCTCCAGTTCGTCCTCCAGCTCGTTCTGCTCCAGCAGCAACAATTCGGCAGCGACGTCCGCCAGTCTGAGCAGCTCGTCGGCCACACGCTCATTGCCGGACATGAGCAAGCTGGAGATAAGCAGCGGCGCCACAACAGCAACGACAGCGGCCGCAGCAGCCACAGCCACAGCTGGCGCGAGCAAGGAGACGAAATACAGCAGTAGCGTTGGAGCAGCTGCAGCTGCAGCTGGAGCTGGAGCGGGAGCTGCTGCTGCTGCTGCCGCCGTTGGCAGTGGCATCAACAATAGCAACATAACTAGCGGCATCAAGCTGCTCTCCTCGGATGTGTACGAGTTCAAGGACACGGAGCCCTTCGAGTTCGAAAAACGCATCTCGCCAATGGCCGCCATGAGCTGTGGCGGCACCTCGGGCTTTGCCAGCAGCAGCAGCAGCAGCAACAGCAGCAGCGTGCCACCAACGGCAGCGCTAGCGATTGTCAGCGCTGCGGCACGCAAGCAGGCGCTGAAGGCAATCGCCTTGGCGCAGAGCATCGAACAGCATCAGCTGCCACATGCGGCACTCGAGCCGGCGTCGCGTGGCTATGCAGCAGCAAATGCAGCAGCAACTGTTGCCGGCGCCACAGCAGGCGTCGCCACGCCGGGCAAGGCCAAAAAACGCGGCTCGCCGCTCAAGGAGGCCAGCCTGACGACCGCGGAGAAGCCGAAGCAACTCAAATTAGAGCAACAGGCAGCTACAGCTGCAGCTGCGCAATCCTCGCCAGCAGCTAGTCCCAACAGTGTCAAGTCAACGTCTGGAGCTGGCAGCAAGACAGCAGGCAATGCAGCCGGAGCAACAGCTGCCACAGCTACGGCCGGCGCACAGCTAACGCCGGGGCATCCACATGCCACGCCGTTCGATGTGCTGCGCAAGTCGCCCAGCTTCAACTTGAATATAATGGCGCTTAACGAGGAGCTCGCCCAGACGGTGCAGGAGACCACGCGGGCGCTAACTGATGCACTGCAGCCGCCCACAACGCCAGCAACGCCACCGGCCATAGCGCCAACTCTGACAGCAGCAGCTGGAGCTGGTGCTGGTGCTGGTGCTGGTGCTGGTGCTGGTGCTGGCTCGTCTGGATCGGCTGTCTTTACGCCAGTCATCGCTGTGCCCGTCTCACCCAAGCTCAGCACTCCGCCGCAGGCGCTGGGCGCGTCCAAGACAACGCCACAGCAGCAGATTGTGGGCAGTCCCTTCATGGAGACGCGCAACGTCTTTGAGCTGAGCACCTCGAACGAGGGCAGCGGCTACAGCTCCGGCGAATCGAACAAGGATAACAAGCTCGAGAAGCTGGAGAACGTTAAAATACTGCTGGCGGGCACCGGGGCCGGTTCGTTCGATCTGGATGCGGTCAAGTACGAGCAGAAGCCCACCTCCATAGCCGACAAAGTTCTCAAGGCGATCAGCCAAAAGAAGGAGGAGGTGGAGCAAAGCAAAACCAAAATCCAAGCGGAAAGCAATGCGGACAAAGAGGAACAGCAGCAGCAGCAGCAGCAGCAGCAACCACTGCATCCGAGCAGCCTTAAGCTGGAGCCGAGCGCCAACAGCTCGGCCCTAAAGCTGGACACATTGAAGCTGCTCAGTGAGCCGCTCAAGGTGCAAACCGGAAGCGGTCTGCCGTCGGTGCTCAGCGAGCTGTATCATCGGACGAGCAGCAGCAACAGCCCTGAAACGAAATCCATTTTGGAGGCCTCGCTGCCGGCAAAGAATAGCGAACTGAGCGAAACCATACAGAAGCTCGAGTGCGCCATACAGCAGCGCAAGACGCCAGTGGCGGGTCAGTCGCTGGCCTCATCTATAGCTGGAACGCCGCCGGTAACGGCAACGGTGAGCGGCAATGCCCACTTCTCGGACGAGTCCATGGATAGCACCGACTCGGAGCAGCGCCTGGTTATTGAGGACGTAATGGCCGAGGAGCCTAGCACGGTTAGCGAACTGAAGAGTCCCATGTCCGAGGCCTCGGGCAGCCTGACGGGCAGTGCGCCGGTCAAACTGGAGCTGGCTGCTGCGGGCAGCAAACAGCTGACGGGCGTCCAGGCGCCCATACCATTGAAGCCCATGTTATTGCTGCTGCCGGATATGCCGCACGGCATAAACACCTTCCCCAGCAAGGAGCAATCCGCAGCAGCAACAACTCCAACAGCAGCAGCAGCAGCAGCAGCGGCGGCACCAGCACCACCTGCGCTGCCACCTGGCGTGCCCATTGTGCTGCCCGAAATCCCCGTCTCCGTGGTGGTTGCGCTGCGTCACAGTCCCGGCAGCGCCAGTCCCGCCTCACCGAAGCCGGAACCGAAGCTGCCATCCAAGCAGATGCAGCCCGTCGACGATGGTGGCTTGCTGCTGAAGCCGTTCACGGCACAGGCCAGTCCGCCGCTGCCCGAAGCACTGGCAATGGCGCTGGCTGTGGAGGCCAAAGCTGTGCCATCGCCGCTGCCACGTCCGTTCGGACTGCAGGCCAAGGAGCTGCCCATGCATGTCTCGCCCGCAGCTGGCAGTCCCTTGATCAGCGAGGCGTCGCACAGCGAGGCGGCCATCAATCTGCTCTGCGAGGAGACCATACCGGGCAGTCCGGCACCCACTTATACCATGAAAGACGAGCTGAGCAACGGTGCTGGAAACGCTGGCCTGGCGACAGCCACAGTTGCCAGCAGCGCTGCCACAAGCTCGCCCATCTGCAGCTCAGCGCTGACCATACCGGGCATATCGCCCTTGCCGCCGGACACGCCGCCGCCGCCGCGCGCCAATCAGACGACTCTGGCCAGCCAGACAGCGCCGGCTGCTTCGGTGTCGCCCAACAGCTCACCGGAATCGCCGGCCAGCCAGGATGACAGCAGCGAGGAGACGGGCAGCAGCAAGAAGCACGCCGAACTCGAGAGCAACGTGCTCACTGGCAGGCGCAAGCGACGCGCCAAGGCAAGCGAATCGAATGTCCAAGCCGCTGTCTGTCAGTTCCTGGGCAAGCGGCGCCGGCAGCAGATCAACAGCATGCGCAAGACGGCAACAGCCACGACAGGCAAGTGTCCAGAAATCAGTCTAAGTAAAGTAGCAGCGAAAACAGTGTTGGTAAACGGTCTATGAGTGCTGAGGCTCGTGCATGGACGTCATTTATGATAATGGAATATTTGTGGCAAGCATGCAGGAGGCGTGCTTCGAGCCTAGATTAGCTAGCCAATAATATTAATATTATTAATTATATTATACACATTTTCATATTGCTCTTTGTTGCTTTCCTCCAGCTGGCTCCGATACGGATGACACGGCCGAAAATGTTGTGACCACGCAGCGTCACAGCACACGCCATCAACTGTTGCCGCAGGGACAGCAGCAACAGCTGCAGCAGCAGCAGCAGCAACAACAGCAGCAGGAGCAGCATCAACAGCAGCAACAGCAACAAATGCAGCAGCAGCAGCAGCAACAACAACAACAGCCGGCACAAGCAGTTGCCAATGCATCGGGCGTTAGACCTTGTCCCTACAACTTCCTAGTGGAATTGGGTAAGCTCTTCTGGACTATAAAATGTGAAGATATCAAATACTAATCTATATATATATATCGTGTAGATCCCTCGCTCAGCGCGGAGCAGTGTATATTGATATTGCGCAAACAGATACAGGATCTGCGCAAGGCCTACAATAGCATCAAGGGCGAGCTGGCAGTCATCGATCGGCGCCGCAAGAAGCTGCGCCGGCGTGAGCGCGAGAAGAAGCAGCAGCAGCAGCTGCAGAGCCAGCAGCAGGGCAAAGTCTGTGCATAAGTAAATGCAATCGGGAATGCAATACACATATACATATACTTATGTATATATATGGACACATACGCTATATAGATTCAAACAATTGTATATTTGTATCGATTTAAGTCCGTTCCGCTCCGCGTTCGTTGAACTCTCCAGCTTCTACTTTCACTTGGCGCAATTACTATTATTATTACACTTATTTTATTATACTTCTATATATATATATATATTTTTTTTTTTGCGTCTCAGTAGTTTGTAGTAATTGCACTTGAAAGGAGTTATGCAGCATTTGATGGCCCCCAATCGGCGTCGCTAGCCATTTTAAATATAAACAAATACATAACTAAATGCAATGATAAATACACGCAAAGAATGTAATAGAATAAATGTTGTTATTGGATTGGATTATGTGTGTGTGTCTGTCTGGTTAGGAGACCGAGTAGCCGCCCTCCAGGTTGATGTGATGGCCATTGACGAAGCTCGACTTGCTGCTCAACAGATAGCCAATGGCGTCGACCACCTCGTGCACCTCGCCGAAACGCTTTAGCGGTATACGCGCCAGCAGTGGCCCACTGACGGCCGGATCGGACCAGTTTTCGATGCTCATTCTGGTCAGCACCACGGTGGGATTGACCGAATTGACACGTATCTTGCGCTCAGCCAGCTCCAATGCCAGCGATTTGGTTAGCGAATCCAGCGCCGCTTTGGTCGCACTGTACGCCGTATGGCCAGCAAAGCTGCGTGAGGCAGCCAACGAGGATACATTCACAATCGAGCTGCCGTTGCGTAGCTTGGGCAGCAGCGCCTGGGTCACATTGAAGACCGCCTTAATGTTCACATTAAATTGCCTGCAAATTGGCCATATGAAAGTTCATTATTTTCCAAGCTGAGCACCAAATCTTACGTATCAAAGTCCTGTTCAGACAGCTGAGCGAAAGGTTTGATTATGGCCACGCCCGCATTGTTGACCAGTCCGTCCAGCTCGGGCACAGCGCCCAAGCTAACACGCACCGCACTCCAATCGGACAAGTCGACTAACAGTGGCTTTATATGCTCCGCATCGGAAGCGACCAACGCATTTAGCTGCTCCTGATTGCGTGCCACCGCAATGACAGTGGCGCCCGCCGCAGCCAGTTGCTTTACCAAAGCATTGCCAATGCCCGCGCCGGCGCCGGTCACCAAGATCACCTTGTTCTTTAAATCACTCCACATCACGAAATTTAGATGTACTTCTCCGCTTGTTAGTTGCTTGAGACTGCTCAGAGATAGCTAATCTTATTTGTTTATAAATTATCGTTCAAATCCGGAATTAGCTTTTAAAATATGCGATAGCTGCTCTGCCTATCTCTCTCTCATTCTCTCTCTTGCCCTCATGCGTTCTCACACTCTCTCTTTATGAACTCCCGGAGTGCACATAGATCGGTAGGGCATTCAATGTCAAGCCAATATAAGTGATAATACTGTGATAAGTTTGCCCTGTTTTAACACACAATGAGAAGGCAGCTTTGCATGCTATGTTGATAGGAGCCATCGGAGCATAATTATACATATATTTATATGTATAAATATGTATACACACATGTATATGCATGCATGTAAACTGTAAGTGTTATCGATTAAGAAGCTTACATATTATTTTCATTTTAAATACTGATCAGTTTGAATTCTCTCCATCAACTGCACATCAGTTAAGTACATATTACATAATTGATTATAAGCATTTTCATTTACTATTGCCACTTACTGTAGCTGAAGCTGATGTTCTGAGCCGTAGCTACATTAATTTTACCGGCTCCTTAAAGTATGCTGCAACAAGTTTGAATTTGGAGTGTAACTATCGATATGTCTGCAGCCGACCGACTGCATTGCACTGAAATATCGTCGCATATCGATATCGTTACATCTCTAACTGAAAGAAGCGCCGGCAAAAACACAATTTATGGACATTTACAATTAAAAACAAAACGTAAACAATAGTTAAGAAGACTTAAAGTACATTGGAAATGGAGCAAACACAACCCGCAGGTAAGTAATACGTCTCGCTATAAATGCAGTTCTCTAGAATCCACCTATATTGTTCACAAACAGCAAAGCGCGCCAAACTGGAGACGAAACAGAAGCCCCTATTGGAAGAGGATGGTGAGCAACTTCGTAATCAAATCACATATGAATATATATTGAATGCAAACATAACAAACTGTTGCAGAGACGCCTTCGGTATTTAATCCCAAGTATCGTGTCTGCCCCTATTTGGATACAATCAATCGCAATTTGCTGGACTTCGATTTCGAGAAACTTTGCTCCATCTCGCTGACGCGAATAAACGTTTATGCCTGCCTCGTGTGCGGCAAGTATTTCCAGGGGCGTGGCACCAATACACACGCCTACACACATTCGGTGGGCGAGGCGCATCATGTGTTTCTCAATTTGCATACGCTGCGCTTCTACTGCCTGCCGGACAACTACGAGATCATCGACTCCTCGCTGGATGACATCAAATATGTACTGAATCCGACATTCCTGCGCAACGAGATTAGCAAACTGGATCAGCTACAGCCAAAGCATTCGCGCACCGTTGACGGCGTTCTCTATCTGCCTGGCGTGGTTGGCCTCAACAACATCAAGGCGAACGACTATTGCAATGTGGTGCTGCATGCGCTGTCCCACGTGAGTCCATTACGGGATTACTTTCTGCGTGAGCAAAACTATGCGACAATCAAGCGTCCGCCGGGTGATTCAATGTTTACGCTGGTGCAGCGCTTCGGCGAGCTGATGCGCAAAATGTGGAATCCGCGCAACTTCAAGGCACACGTCTCGCCGCACGAGATGCTGCAGGCGGTGGTGCTGTGGTCCAGCAAGCGTTTCCAGATCACCGAACAGGGGGATCCCATTGATTTTTTGTCCTGGTTCCTGAACACGCTGCATCGCGCCCTAAAGGGCAACAAACAGCCCAATTCGTCCATATTGTATAAAATATTCCTAGGTGAAATGAAGATCTATACGCGTAAAATACCGCCCGTCGAGCTGGACGATTCGGCCAAGCAGCAGCTGCTCGCCACCGATGAATACAAGGATCAGGTGGAGCATACGAATTTCATATATTTAACCTGCGACCTGCCACCTCCGCCGCTGTTTACCGATGAGTTTCGTGAGAACATCATACCGCAGGTGAATCTGTATCAGCTGCTGGGCAAGTTCAATGGCAGCGCCGAGAAGGAGTACAAAACATATAAGGATAACTTTATGAAGCGCTTCGAGATCACACGATTGCCCCAGTTCATAATCTTGTACATCAAGCGATTCACGAAGAACACATTCTTCCTCGAAAAGAATCCCACAATTGTCAACTTTCCCATCAAGTAAGTGCCGCTGGACGCCAATTTGCCGATTCCGGTTACAATTTGCTCTTTATCTGACAGGAATGTGGACTTCGGTGACATTTTGGGCATGAAGCAGCGCGACAAGGAGCTGAAGGAGACCAAATACAATCTGGTGGCAAACATTGTGCACGACGGCGATCCAAAGAAGGGCACCTATCGCGTGCACATCCTGCACAAGGCGAACGGACAGTGGTACGAGATGCAGGACTTGCATGTCACCGAAATATTACCCCAGATGATCACGCTGACCGAGTCCTACATTCAGATCTATGAGCGCTGCGCCGAATCCTAGTCTTAACTGTACATATATATATATATATATATAAATATATAGCTGAATACACAGACTTTTATACTAAATGTATGTTTGTGTGTGTGTGTGTGTGGGTCAGCTGTGCTGCTCTTACGCCTTGTCCCAGTGATGGTCTTGCGCATGCGTCATGGCCCAATTGCTGACTACAGCCAGCCACTCGTTTCATCACATTCCGTTTGCACACGTCAAAAATCGATGTGTGCATTTGTTGATTAGTCGCAGCCAGCAGCACAGTACAGCATCGCCATGTCCGAGCTGATCAGCTACGAGGAGGAATGCCAGCGAGCCGAGCTCTTGGGTCTGCAGCCGCCGGACAAAGCTGAATTTGAGCGCAAACGCAGCGCACGGCTCGAACAGCAGCTGGCCGAACAGGAGGCTGCCGAGGCGGTCGTAAGTGTGGCGAGTGGCACTAGTAGGTCTGCACAATGTACTCAAGGGGCTTTCATTACAGATGCTGGAGCAGCAGGATGAGTCGCTGCGCGGCGCCGGCGGCAAGCTGGACGAGCTGAACAGCATCTTGTCTAGCACGCAGCAGCGCCTGAATCGCTTTAAGCAAACGGCATGCGGCAGCCTGACAAATATATTTGCGCGTGGCGGCAGCCTTAGCGGCGCCAGTGGCGTCAGTGCTTCCATGGATGTGCCTGGCCATAGCATGGAGCAGCCGGCTGAACAGCAGCAGCAGGCGCCAGTGCAAAGGCAGCCACAGCCCATGGCGCCGCCCACAGCCGCTGAGGTGGCAGCGGCCAAGGCGGCCAAGCGTGTCATGATGGATGGCCAGCTGGACAAGCTGGACGCCCTGATCAACAAAGCGGACAATGCGCAGCTGGCCATGAGCGAGCAGACAAAGCAAATGCGTCGCATAGCCAAGTGAAAGAAGCGTGCTTCGAGCGGTTGTTTGGGATCGGGTAACTTAAAAGAAAAGCATTCGGTTTTATTTAATACACATAGATTATATATATATATATATACATATATATACATATATATATATATATATATATATTTATGCATATATATACTATATATCTGAACACATGCGTTGCCCTGAATCACAAAACAATTAAACATAAAGTCGAGATTTTCAATCACAAATCTGCAAAGTTTGTCTTCGCTGTTGATACATATATACACATAAAACTAAATGGTTTATATAATAATATATATATATATAAATATATATGTGTGTGTATGTATATAAAGTTATGTACTTAATTATGTCCTTACTTAATACTTCTTGCTACGTTTTAATCGATTTAAATTAATTAAATAAAACTGCATAATCCAAAATAGAGAATGAAAATAGTTAAATAAAAAAAACAAAACAAAAAAAAAACATAACAAGAATCAAATTAAAATATAGTCAACATTTGCCGTAGCTCCATCTTTGCACTTTCTAATCGCTCGGAGCTGGCGCAGTTGATGGCTGGGATAGCTGCTTTTGGAGCGACCAGCGCTTGGCCAGGTTCTGCTCGTAGGCCATAATTGGCGCCGATTTGTTAAGCAACGATGATGTCAGTTCGCTATCCGAATCGGAGCGCTCGTCGTCGCTCTCATCGTCCGTCTCATACAAGCTGGCGTCCAGACCCGCATCAGTCTCATAGTCATCCAGCTCACTGTCCTGCGACGACTTGTTAGGATTTTCTCTTTTCTGCTTGGAAGAAGAGGAGACCATATTTACAATGAGAATGCCAGTATTTGGCCAGAGTATCTTACTGTCAGCTCCTTGGGCCTATGCTGATTGAGCAGCTCCTGCTCCTCGGTCTCGTAGAAAAAGTAGGTGAGCAGCAGCTGCTCCTCGGCTGAATTGTAGCGCCAGGCGTGCGGAATTAACGCTGAATTGTAGTTGAAGCGGGCCTGCAACTCGAGGAACATATGTGGCGAGATATGCATCTTGGGCACTTCAAGCTGCTGCTGCCACTGCACCAAGACTGTCGGATCAGGCTGAGAGCTACCAAAGACTCGAAAGTAGAGCTTGCAGGCGCGATAGTGTTGCAGCTGTTCCGCCTCGTTGACTGTGCGGCGCAGCACGTTCAGCTGCGGATCGAGCACTTGGATGAGCATGTAATGCTGTTGGCGATCCGGCATATTGGCCACAAGCAGTGCCCGACTATTGGCCGGTGAGAACAGCGGCGGCAGTGTTGGCCATAAGGTGCTGAGGAGTCGCAGCATTAGCTGCGTTACGGTCGAGTGCTTAAACAGCTGGCGAGGCAGCAACTTTGGTGTTGTTGCTTCCATAGTGGGCAGCCAGCGCAGTGCATCGGCCCAGAGCTTGGCACCTGTCCCGGACTGTATGGTCAAGCCCAGCATACACATACAGCGCTTGCAATAGAGATGTTCCGAACGATTTATGACGCGTTCCTGCAGCACACTTATGTTGAGCACTATGTAATTGAGGCCGTAGTAGAGTCCCTTCAGGTCGGGCACCAATGTGACCGGGTGCTTCGTTGTGCCGTGAGTGTGGCAAAAGAACTCGCTGGGATCGATCAGACCGCTGGGGAATTCGCGCAAGCGATTGTAGCTGCATCCGGAGACCAGTTCACTCCGACAATTATTGCACTGCAGCGCCACCAGGTGCTCTGTGTGCTCCGCAAAGCTAAGCAGCAGTGGCTGTGCCGTCAATGGGATGCCAATGCTCTGTTCCAGTGCCTCGGTATCTAGTGTGGTGTAGTTAAACCGAAAGCTTATGTGACAACCATTCACAATGAAAGCGGAAATGCGTTGTATGTCCATGCCGAAGGTATCGTGGCGCAGCACCAGTTGACTTTCTTTGCTGTACATGCCATTCTCGACAATGTGGACGTCGTGCTCCTTGATGATTAGGCGCGTCTTCTTGCGTCCGCGGATTTCTTGATCGAACTGAAGGAACACATGGCCGCTGTTTAAATTGGGGCGCAACTCAATGCAAACGGCCTTCAGCGGCATTTTTGGTGGCGGTGGCCCTCTTCGGATGGCAATTTTAAGCAAGTCAATACAAAAAAACGGAATGCGAAATGTTTTGTTTAACGCTGCTATGCTAGCGAAATTTATCGATATTATTAAAATATCTTTCATTTCTTTCGCGACCGATACGTTTCTTTTATCCGATACAGCAAAGAGTGGCTGAGTTTACGTTTTCGGCAATTATTTTAATAGCTTCTTACTAATTTATTAATAATTAATAAAATAAATCAATTAATTTATGGCGTCATAACAGCTTTGGGCATTTCTCCCATCTGGATGATAAGATCCAATATGAATGCAACTCTGGGCCATCCAGTTTCATTTAACGGCAGAATTCCCGAACGACACAATTTTTTCAAACTGGCTTTGTGTGCTAAATATATATTATGTAGTTCTGTTATTCATTTAATTGCCGTTTAGTTTATTTGTATTATATTCGTTGATATGGATAATTGTCGGACCAACAGCCCCAAAGCTACCTAGCCTCATACACCAATATCGTGCTCCATGCCCGTTTTTGATCACTTGCATTCTCCTAGAATGTCGATCATGCATCAATTATGAGCACCCAAAAAGCTCACGGCAACGTTCTACAAAATGTCTATGAAAAAACATATCCAAAACCAACAGCTTGGACAAAAAAATGCTAAGGCTTGCAACAGCTTTGATGATTTAAAATATGACTCGAACAGCGACAGTGAAAAAATGATAAAGCCATCATGACGTCGCTCATTATTTGCACTAGTAATATTTAATCAATCATTCTAGCAGGGCAAGCTGATTCTATCCATAGATAAATATAAGATGTGTAATTTTAAATATGGCGGTCACAAATTAGTATATCAATTAGCTTTTGTACGTCTATTAGCGCCCACATATGGTTTGGTACTCCGTGGATGGTTTTCACCAAATGTATATATAACATTGCATATCTATATATATATATAGATATATTTATAATTTTGTATGTAAGCATCGGCATTTTCATTTTATTTTAAAGAAAAATTTTTTAACTCAGTTAAAAGAGTTAAGAGATATTACCTTAAGAAGCCACAAGAATATGGTTGCGTTGGGGGCATTCCTATTTTGCAAATTTTGCGTTAGAAATTTAATAAATTTTATTTTGTAGTCATTAACTTACCCAAATACAAAGAGTTGCAATCACAAAAATATTGCAATATTTTGTTGGTGTATTTAAAAATGTGTTTTATTCTTTTATACGGCACCGTCCATCGTTTTAGTTTGAAGTTGATTTCAGTTCGATATGTCTCGATATGAATCGTTAGGGAAAAGCTGTCGATATTTCGATGTTTTTTACATCACTAGTACGAACGCGAACGCGATTTTTGTGATGGATAAAAACAAAGTCCCGTATACATTTATGAAAACTGTGTAAAAATGCAGCAAATGCATAAGAAAATTATTACTAAATTCTGCATTGATTAAGAACTAACAATTTGGAGTGCTTAAATAGTGTGACAAAGCAAAATTATTTCGAAACGGGCAAACAAAAAGGTTTTTTCAACGTTTTCTTTACGCTTTTCGTGCACACACATACATACACAAACACAAACACACATATATATTTGAACACACATACAGGCATTGATATATGTATATCAATATATTGATGTTGTGCTGTTGTTGTTTATGTATATATGTGTGTGTGTTTGTGTGTGCGGGAGCGGTGCATTAGTCTATATATGTATCTATGTGTGTACGTGTGCGTGCGTTTGTTCAGTGTGTTTCTGTCTGCTTGAACAGGCCAGCGTGAGTACGTGTGCGATAAAGATAGAAAGTGCGAGCTCGCGCGCAGGTTTCGCGACAAGGCATAAAACAGGATAAAAGGAGCGAGCAAAGATGAGCAGAAAGAATAAATGTAAAAAATAATTAAAGGTTGCTAAAGGGACGCACAAAACACGGCACGACAACGGGGGCAGCAGCAGCAGCTACAGAGCAGCTGGTCCTGGTGCAGCTAAAACAGCAACATCGGCCAAACACATGCATACCAGCCACCGAGTATATTTTATGTGTATGTACATACATACGTTTATGCATAAAACTGTGTGACCAACACAATTGGCCATTTTGGCGTTCTCTATTTTGGCAGTCACACACACACAGACACAAATCACACATACACCAATATACAATCGCAGTCACTGCTCCCCCAGCGACTCTCTCACTCTCTGAATCGGTGCTGCTGCTACTGCTGCTGCTGCTGCTGCTGCTTATGCTTCTTACTGCTGCTGCTGCTGCTGTGGGGGGTACAAATTCACATAGCCGTGAAAAATAGCATGAAACACAACAACGACAATAAACAATAGGCAGCCGTCGCAGTCGCAACAGCGCAGCGCGTTAAGTTCGTTTACTTGCGTCTGTTCCATCTTACGCTTCGTATAAGAGACTTCTAATAAAGCTTTAATTTTTATATTTTTTTGTTTGTTACTTTTGGGCAGCCCTCATCCTTCGGCCCTATAACAATCGGTTGGTCGGTCGGTCAGTTAAAAGCTTATGCGTATGCAAGTTGACGCAGTTAACGATAAGTATTTGTCGTGACACGAAGTGCCCGCGCTTGCAACACAAAATCAAAAAAGAAAAAGTTAAAAAACGAAACAAAACACTGAATTCTAATGTTTTTAATATTGTTAAAAATGTACTTTAAATTATAAATAAATAAATGAAGAATTAAAAAAAAAAACAAATTATAATTAAATATATACAGGTATATCTATATATATAAATAAAAAGTCTAGTGAAATTAGTGAAATACCTTTTAACCTGCAATTCATATTTCTGCCCGTTTTGAAATCACGCAACCATCCCTATGAAAACAAAACACAGTTCACAAACACCAAGAGAAAAAGAATCAGAGCAAACGTAGAAGGCGACGCTGCACAAATCCATGCGTACACACACACACAAATACTGACACACACACACGCATACATACATAAGTATGTATCTGTAAATAAATAGTTTTGAAATAAATTTGAAAGCATTAAGCAGCACTTGACAACAGGAAAAATTAAAAAAAAAATAACTAAATAATAATAAAAATAATAAAAAGTTTAAATAAAAAACCCGCTCAATATTTCGCCATTTACACGAATAAAATTGAGCGTAATTATCCAAATTGCACTTTACAAAAGAACTTGAAAATAAAGAGAGAGTGAGAGAAAGAGAGATAGGAAAGAGCAAAGTATAGCAACAGAAGAAAGCAAATATCCATCCAAAAGCAACAGACACACACAAATACACGCAGCAAAAGCCCCGCCAGCAGCAGCTGAATAAATCACAAGCTCGCGGACCGCTTAAAGCTCAGCTTCAACCTGGCGAATCGCAACGGTAGCAACAACAATAACAGAGCCGATGCCGCTGCTGGCGGCGCAGCTGGCGCTGGCGCTGCCGCTGTAGCCGCTGGTCGTAACAACAATAACAATAATGCAGCTGCCGCTGGTGGAGCTGCTGCTGGAGGCGCTGGCGCCGATGCAAATGCTGCCAGTGGCGGTGGCGGCAACGAGTGGAATCCTGAGGAAATGGATCGATTCAGCTTCGACGATTCCATACGCTTCGAAGAGGATTCACTCTGCAGCTGGAGCTCCGAGGCGGAATCGTTGTGCAACAATTGGCGTGGCTGGAAGAAGCCAACGACCAATGGCACCACCGGTCCGGGCCTGGGCAATGGAAATGGCATTGGTCCTGTTGCCAGCGCGGCCAACAGCAATAGCAATGCCAATGGCACATTCGGTGCAGCGGGATGCAGTGCACCCGGCACGGGCAGCAATGGCGGCATCTCCAACTCTGCCTCAATGGCAGCCGGTGTCCATTGTGGACGCCATTTTGGTAAGTACATTACAACATATATGTATATATATATAAATGTCCTTAAAATAAACATTTGTTTGCACACATACACATGTCCACACATATGTATGCATGTATGTATGTATGTATGTATGTATGTGTGCATGAATGTACGAGGAGCCTTGCATACTGCCAGACCGCTTTATATGTGAACTTGTGGCTGCTGCTTACTGAGAACTTGTTGAACCATTGCCAAGATCTTTTTTTTTGAGGACTCTGACTTTAGAATTCGAGCAGCAACAATAGTTTAAAATTTATATTACATAAATAGATTGATCGCTCAAACTACAAAAAATAAATTCAATTTACGTCTTATCAGATTATTTAACTTTGGCGTTTGTAACGATCTGGCAACGCTGCCAATTACATACGGTCAAATTACACGCATTACATTTTCGATGCATGCACCGATTTCGTAGCTATGTATGTATATATGTAAATGTGCCCGCAAGCATATCTGTATGTATGTATATATGTATATGTAAAAATTGGCTATAAGTTGCTGCAGCAGCAACAACAGCAGCGACAGCGACAATGCAACAACTATTTCTGCCTGCGTCGCCTGCTTATCGCTAAAGTCAAAATCACGACTTTGCTGCTTACATTTTGTTGCCATTGTCCGTTTACCTTGTATTACCTTTTTCTGTCTGCTCCTCTCATCTGCACATCACATCGTTTTCTATATAAGTATGTGCGTGAGTATGTGTGTATGTATGTATGCATTGCGCATTGGCTTTGGTCCGTTTTGTGTCCTGTGCGCCGCCGCACCATTATCAACATATAATCTCAGCTGCGCTGCGACTGCGCTGCCGTTGCTTTTCATTGCTCTTTTTGGTGTTGTTGCTGTTGGTGCTGATGCCTGTGTACGCTAGTTTTTTTGTTTTGTTATTGGGGGCCAGGCCATCTTACTAGGTGAGCGAGAGCTGCCAGCTGCAGTTTTACGTGAAATATATGTACAAATTTGTGTGAATGTGTTTTGTGTACCTGTGTGTTTGTGTCTGTCTGGGTTTGAAATAAAAAAAAAAACCGCAAAAAAGTGACGTTCTGGCTTCTCTCGATGTTGCGTTGGTAATTTGCTTTGGCAGTCGTTTGTGTCAAGGAACCTTTTCAAGGATAATGCCCAAATAAGTGTGTATGAGTTTACCGTACAATGAGCGCTCGATATACAAGTTTATTTATATATATATGTGTATACATATATGTATATATTTATATACATCCATGCATACTTTTCAATATATCAGCACCTGCTTTGACAAGGCCGACAAAACTTGTAATAAATTTAGGGATCGATGTCAATAGCTTTGCTAAAAACTATCGTATGTATATATGTATATATGTTATGGACGAACGTTGCCACATGTCATCTAATAATTAGTATCGTAGCGTTTATATTTTGTTTTATTTTTTATTTATTTATTTATTTATTTTTTTTAAATTTGCTGACAAAGTAAACGCAGTTAAAGACATACGAGAACGTTTTTATTTTTATTTGGGCCATTTGTGGGCATATCAGTTTTCTTGCACTTCCGGAACCGCGAACGCGCGACACACATACGTAGCATGTGTATATATGCATGCATGTATGTGTGTGTAAATGCATATGTATTATGCACAATTTTGACCTCTTTTTTGCCGGGACAACACTGACGACTACAGTGGCAAAAACAATAACATTTCTGAACTCGATTTGCTGTTGTTAGTGTCGCTCCTTACTCTTGTTGCCTGCTTGCACACACTAGACGTCAGCAAATGGAATGCGAATAAAGAAGGAATAGGAGGAGGCATGAATAATAACTCTTGACGCTTGCGGAAAATGACTTTGAATAAAATGGTGCCAGAGTGTCTGAAATTAAGCGACAGCGAGCGAACGAGCGAAAGAATGAAAACAAACAAACGATGCGCTGGCCATGCTTGCGTGTGCAAGTGTAAGTGCATGAGTGTGTGTGATTGTGCATATGCGTGTGCGTGTGTAATGAATGCCAACCGACAAAAACGTACAAAATCGATATCGATAAAGGGAACGAGAAATGCTTGAAAACGTAACACATTAGCAAAGACCCCATACGATAGTGAAAGCGAAACAGGTTTCCATTAAAATGTTGAAGACAGCTGTTTATATATATATATATATATGTACTTACACGCACATATATATATATATATATATATATATATATATATATATATATATATATATATATGCATGTAGTTCTTAGAAGATGAACACATGTGTGGGCGAACTTGAACCTTGGTTTCTTGTCGGGTGTGCGCCCAATGTTGTTGTTAATGCTGCGTCAGTTGCTCGTGTTAAAAGCAGAAAAACGACACAAATATACTCAACTCTTTTATTGTTTCTGCTTCTTTGTTTCGCACTCTAAAGCGGATGGACACGACCTTTATATATATGTTTATGTATATGTATGTATGTTGTTATTGTCGTTGTCGTTGGCTCATGTTGATGTGTTGGCTGTTTGTTCATTTGTTTATTTGCATGACAATTTGTAGAATTTTGTTTATCTACAAGTCAATTGCGCTGCACGCACATATAAACATACATACAACAGACATACATATGTATGTGTGGCATGCAACAAACATTGAATTCAACTTTTTCAACATCTGAAACGCCATTGACCTCTGCAACGACTCGCTTCACCCTGCTTCTTCTTCTTCTTCTTCTGCTTACTTGGTCATTGCTCGAATCGTCTCGGATAGCGTTTGATTTATGTTTTATTTGTGTGCGTGTGAGTCGTTGTGCGTGCGTACGTGCCTGTCTGCATGTGTGCATGTATTGGTGTTAAGCATTCCGAGTACTACTAACAAAAATCCAGTCGCCTTCACTAGGGACTTCCCTCCATTTTAGTGCCCACTTGGGCGGAACTTGTTATTGGAGAATAGTTAAATTCTATTGAAAATTTATTTCCTTTGATATGGAAATGAAGACTTCTTCGATTTTATTAACAATTTATTTTTGTTTGTTATTTGCAGAAGTCTCGTCGCTGGCCGAGCTTTCAGCTCGCTGTGTCGCCTCGTATATACCATTCGAGCTGGTCGAGCATGTTTATCCGCCCGTGCCGGAGCAGCTGCAGCTGCGCATCGCATTCTGGAGCTTTCCGGACAACGAAGAGGACATACGACTCTACTCATGCCTCGCCAACAGTTCGGCGGATGAGTTTCATCGCGGCGATCAATTGTTTCGTTTGCGCGCTGTTAAGGATCCGCTGCAGATAGGTGAGTCTATAGCACTTCAAATCTAACCACGATCATCTGGTAATCATTGGTAATCGTCTTGCAGGTTTTCATCTCTCTGCCAGCGTTGTTAGCCAAACGCCGCGCACCTTCTTCAATGTGGCTGTCACATTTGATCGTCGCCGGATCTCCTCTTGCAACTGCACCTGCACCTCCTCGGCGTACTGGTGCTCGCATGTGGTTGCCGTTTGCCTGCATCGCATTCATTGTGTATGTCCCTGTCACGATGTGCACATGCTGAAATCTCTTTCGCACTCTAACCCTGTCTCTTTCTCTTTCTCTTTCATGCTGTAGCCTCTGGAGGTTTGCCTGCGCGCACCTGTCTCCGAGTCGCTAACTCGTCTTCAGCGTGATCAGTTGCAAAAGTTCGCCCAGTATCTGATCAGTGAGCTGCCGCAGCAGATACTGCCCACAGCCCAGCGTCTGCTAGACGAGCTGCTGAGCGCCCAGCCAACAGCGATCAATACAGTTTGCGGTGCACCAGATCCCACGGCAGGCGCTTCAATAAATGACCAGACCAGCTGGTATCTGGACGAGAAGACGCTGCACAACAACATCAAGCGGATACTCATCAAATTCATATTGCCGGCGCCAATTGTTTTCAGGTAAGTCGCACTGCATCCTCATCCCTTACTGCTCCTCAATGGGAATTTGCATGACAGTTGCTTGCTCCCCCATAGTAGCTAGTTCTTAATGGTTATATTTTCGATCTTGCAGCGATGTCAACTATTTGACCAATTCGGCTCCACCAGCGGCAGCCGAATGGAGTTCGCTGCTGCGTCCGTTGCGTGGACGCGAGCCGGAGGGCATGTGGAATCTGTTGTCGATAGTGCGCGAGATGTATAGACGCTGCGATCGGAATGCGGTGCGCCTGCTGGAGATCATAACGGAGGAGTGCATGGCCTGCGATCAGATGTTGATATGGTGGTTCCAAACGAAGCTGGCGCTCATGATGGGCTCCCATGGACACAGCGGTGGCAAGCACTCGAATACGCACTCGAACTCCACAGCATTGCAGCATGCGTGCAGTTCGCTCTGCGATGAGATAGTCGCGTTATGGCGCCTGGCTGCACTGAATCCTGGGCTGGCGCCCGACGAGCGCGACATGCTGCACGCTCAGTTTACGGCCTGGCATCTGAAGATACTCGATCGTGTGGTCAAGAGTCGCATGATGCCGCCGTCGTACACGAACAAGCATCAACAGAATTCTAGATCCGAGACGGAGCTGTTCATTGGCTTCAAGCCAGCCATTGAGGCATGCTATTTGGATTGGGAGGACTATCCGATAGCGGGCGTAACGCACACCCACGACACAAATCCCATTTATTATTCACCGTTCACATGTTTCAAGCATACGGATGCCAAGGGCGAAACCTGCGGCACCAACACCACCAGCCAGCTAAATGCCACCCAGGCGCTGATGAGCAACAACAAACATTATAATTACTTTAGCACCTCCAACGATCATGGAATGCATGCGAGCGCCTTCAAGCAGCGCGCCGAGCGAAGTGGATATCGCGAACGTTTCGATGCCAGCGGCGCTGAGCTGTTTGGCTCGCCCAATGAGCCGCCCTCCATAAACGCTGTCCTGCTGCTAGCCCAAGTGAATGCCACCTGCGGCATGGGCGTTGATCGTGATGCTATGGCATTAGGCGCCAGTCCACCGCAGCAGCAGCAGCAGCAGCAGCAACAACAGCAACATCAGATGGCGGGCGCAGCTGCGGCAAGCAAATCGAATGTGGCCGCCTCTGTGGCTGGCTCGGGTACAGCCGGCGCTGGTGGCGATGGCAATCGATCGAGTGCGAGCAGCGAGGGCTTCTGTGAGAACGAAGATTTTGGCGGCGACAACAGCAGCAGTCTCAACTATTGCACGGAGCGTGCGGCGACTGTCTCTGGACAGAAGTCGCTGACCGAGTCCGATTCGCAAAGCAGCTTCGATGCCGTCTCGGCTATGTCGCAGCAGAGCAAGGATTTGCCCATGTCTGTAACTGCAGGCGTAGCAACAGCCGCCAATGTTGTTGTTGGCCCTGGCACACCGGACTACAGGCAACAGGCAGGCTCCACATCGGACACCTCGTCGGCATCATCGGCTTCGTCATCCGCGTCAACGGCATCGGGCAGCAGCAACAGCTCCAGCTCATCCATGCTCAAAACAGCTGCAACGGCACAGCAGCAGCAGCAGCAGCAGCAACAACAGCAGCAGCAGCAGCAGCAGGTGTCACGTCGCCTGTCCAAGGATGAATCGTTCAGCAGCAGCAGCGATGAGTTTGTTCAAGTTGTTGTCGGCGGGTCAGTTGCAGCAGCGGCAGCAACAGCAACTGTAACTGGCGGCGACTTAACACCTGTGCCAAGCACCTCAGCAGCAGCACGTGCTGCACTGGCAGCAGCAACAGTTGCTGTCCACAGCACGCAGCCAATAGACCAAACATCATCAGCAGCAGCAGCGGCAGCTGGAGGAGGAGTAGCCATATTAGCGACACCTGTGCATGTTGCAGCAACGGCTTCGACGGCAACAGCAACAGCACCAACAGTTCCGGTTGTTGCCTCCGTTGTGGGCACCGCAGCAATGGAACAACCCTGCAGCAGCAGCAGTGGTGGAGTCGGCGCCAGCGCCAGCGGGGCACGCGCAGCCCTGGCTGGCGACAAGCCGCACATTTTCTCCAATGTGCGGCCCTCGGAAGATGCGTGGGACATACTGTTGGCGCGGGCGGAGGGCTTGCACGCCCATGGGCATGGCCGCGAGGCGTGCATCTTGGCTGTGCGCCTGGCCGAACAGATGCTGGCCAATCCGCCCAATCTGCTAATGGAACTGCCGCCGGCGCCCAAGCGCAAAGGTAAAAAGCAGAACGTGAATCCCATATCGCATCAGCTGACTGTGGTGGCCTCATCGACGCTCTCCAAGTGCGCGTTTCTGTGCACAGTGCTCTCCGAGAACTCGGAGCACTATCACATCGGCTTTCGCATCTGTTTGTTTGCGCTGGAAATGCCGCGTCCGCCGGCCAGCACCAAGCCGCTCGAGGTGAAGCTGGCCAATCAGGAGGCGGATATATTGGCGCTGCTGAAGCGTCTGCCACTGGGCGCTGCCGAGCTGCAGGTGATACGCGAACGGGCCGAACAGCTGCGCAATGGCACCTTCAAGACACGCGGCGAGGCGTTGCTGCCCATCAACTTGGCCACGTTCATCTTCGATGCGCTCGTGACGCCCGGCGCCGCCAAATTGGCCTCGGGCAGCAGTTCATCGGGCGAATCGACGCGGCGTCCGAATACAGCGCTCTACAAACAGTTCAGCGAGGAGAACATGGGCTTCGATGCCGCTGTGGCCGCATTGGGTCTGAAGGCTAACGTATCGGAGGCGGAGCATCCGCTGTTGTGCGAGGGCACGCGACGGCAGCGCGGCGACTTGGCCCTGACGCTGCTCTATCACTACAAGGACGAGCCGCGCAAGATAGCCAAGATCATGGAGAAGCTGCTGGATCGGGATATACATACGCTGCTAAAGGCTCCACTGCTGCCCGCCTACTACTCCAGCCATCCGCCAGTGCGCACGCCCAGCCAGCAGCCCATGCGGCGTGATGAGCACGAATATGGTGCCGGTGCGGCAGTGGGTGCTGGTGGTAATGGTGGCGGTGGCGGCGGCGGCGGTGGCGGTGGTGGTGGTGCAGCTGCCTTCAACCTGTGCGAGCTGCTGCCCAACGACTATGGCAGTGTGGGCGGCAACAGTCGACCGCACAGCTCGACCAGCGCTGAGCTCGAGCTGAGCATGTGTGCGCTGAGCATGGCCAGCAGCAGTAATCAGTCGTGCAGCAGCAACAACAATGGCCAGGGGCAGAGCCAGTCGCATGGCCAGGGTCAGGGTCAGGGTCTGGTGGCGTGCCAGAGCGGCGGACAGCCGAATGGAGGCAACGGCGGCAATGCCAATAATCCAGCTGGAGCTGGTGCAGCTGGTGGAAGTGCTGCTGGTACCGTTGGCCAGAACAACGGCAACAACAATTCGGCTAACGGCAACAACGGCAACACGAACAACGCGAGCAACAGCAGCAGCCGCAGCAAGGAGAGCCGCTACAAGGGCAAACGCGCCTATCCCTCCATACCCAATCAGCCGTCGGAGGCCAGCGCCCATTTCATGTTCGAGCTGGCCAAGAACGTGCTGACGAAGGCCGGCGGCAACAGCTCGACGTCGCTGTTCACACAGGCCAGCACCAGCCAGAATCACCATGGACCGCACCGGGCGCTGCACATGTGCGCCTTCCAGCTGGGCCTCTATGCGCTCGGCCTGCACAATTGCGTCAGTCCGAATTGGCTGTCGCGCACGTACTCGTCGCACGTGTCCTGGATACTAGGCCAGGCCATGGAGATTGGTGCGCCGGCGATTAGTTTTCTGATTGACACATGGGAGGCGCATCTGACGCCGCCGGAGGCCGCCGGAATGGCAGATCGCGCCTCGCGCGGCTGGGACAACAACATGGTGTATCCGGCCGCTGAATTGGCTCTGTCCGTGCTGCCGCATGCCGCTGCACTCAATCCCAACGAGATACAGCGCGCCATCTTGCAGTGCAAGGAGCAGAGTGATTTTATGTTGGAGCGCGCCTGTCTCACAGTCGAAACGGCCGCCAAGGGCGGCGGCGTTTATCCCGAGGTGCTCTTCCAGGTGGCGCGCTACTGGTACGAGCTCTACACACGCAACTCGCCCAACAACAGCGCCGCGGATCACGAACAGCATGAGGAGCAGCTGGAGCATTCGGCGGTTAATCTCAGTGTGCTCATTGAGTCCCAGCAGCAGCACGAAATGCAGCAACAGCAGCAGCAGCAGCAACAGCTTCAGCAACAGCAGCAGCAGCAGCAACAACAGCAGCAACAGCAACAGCAGCAGCAGCAACAGCAGCAGCAACAGCAGCAGCAGCAGCAACAGCAGCTAATGAGCGCCGCTGCTGGCGGTGCAGGTCCATTGGCGGGTCCACCTGTAGTTAGCTCGGCACCGCAACAATTCCAGCCAGGTGTGGCGACCTTGGCGCCCATTAACCTGGCGCCATATGGACCGTACACCTTCTGCCAGAGCATCTATGCGCATCATAATCTCAGCTATCCTCCTGGCCAAATGCAGATGTACATTTCGGCAGGGCCGCCGCCACCGCCGCAGCCGCTGTATGCGGGCTATTCGCAGCAGCAGCCACCGCCACCGCAGGGCTCGCAGCAGCAGCAGCATGTGCAGCAGCAGCAACAGCAGCAGCAGCAACAGTCGCTGGTGCCGCCGACAGCTGTGGTGCACGCAGCGCCGCCAGGTCATCAGCCACCTCCAGCGTTCCAGGCGCCACCACCGGGCGCTTTTCAGCCGATGCCGCCGCAGTCATACCAAGCACTGCAAGCGGGTCCGCCCGGACCACCCATGGGTCCAATGGCGCCCACCTATTATGGACCACCGCCGCCGCCGCCGCCGAATGGACCGCCCGGCGGCGGTGTCGGCGTACCCTTGCGCCAGCATCCTGCCCAACATCCAGCACAGCATCCAGCGCAACATCCCGTGTATCCATTCATGCAGCAGCAGCCGCCACCGCCGCCGCAACATCAACAGCAGCCGCCGCCGACCCAGCCACCAGTGCGTCAGCGGCAACAGCATCAGTTCACGTGAGTATACAAATATATACATATATATATATATATAAATAGTGGGTTCAATGCCTCTTTCTTTAACAGATCCACTCAGCTGCGCTATTTGCTGGCTGCCTACAACGTTGGCATGTTGGCCATGGAGACGCTGGCGCGCCGCGTCCACGACGATCGGCCGCAAGCGAAGTATGCCAGAAATCCGCCCTACGGCGAGGACGTGAAATGGGTGTTGCGCATCAGCAAGAAGCTGGGCACCCAGTATCTGCATCAGTTCTGCGTCTGTGCGGTCAACTCGATTGTGAGTCCCTTTGTGCTGCACGATGTGGCCATCGAGTCGGCTCATTATCTGGGCAGGAATAATCATCAGCTGGTCATGCAGCATCTGCGCTCGGCCCTCACGCCCCTTGTGCAGAAGTGTCAGCAAATGTGAGTAGCGATTTGTGGCAGACACTCGCCGAGAATACAGTCATTGATTGAACGTCGACTTTCTCTTTGGCAACAGGTACATTCAGTGCATACACCAGAAGCTGTATCATCTAACGCAAGGCGACTATGAGGAGTTCGCCAGCATTGTGGTTGCCGCACGTGCAGCCTTTCACATTACGCCCGAGGGCAATGCACAGTTCAAGGATTGGCTGCAGTCGATTAAGCGGTCAGTTTTTCAACAGAGCACACTCACCATTGACATTGATATTTACTCTCGATTCATTGGCCAATATCTCAATTTTAAAACTTCAACATCCCAGCATCACTGACCGAGTATCTGTCGCGAATGGCTATAGGCCGAATAAGCTGCTGCCTTGGCAATACGATGATCCCGACGGTCTGCTCTTTATATGCGAGAATCTGTACAAAAGCCCAAATAGCACCACCAAGAGCCACAAGAGCTGGAAAAGAAGCTTAAGCATGACGTTTCGCCGGGTCTTCCGCGAAACGCCACCGAGCATAGAAACAAAAACAAGACATTAACAATTGCAAGCCATAGTGAAAAGAAGATTAACAAGCGAGAGAGAGAGGGAGAGACGTGCCAATCGATCAAGTTTTATATATATACGAAATATGTTATATTATGTATAATCAAGCCAAATGTGATTTTAATTATTCATGGACATTCAGCATGTTCTATTTGTAATTAAAATTTCAGTGTATTAAATTTGGCAGAAATAATGGAAGGACTTTAAATTAGCATAACAGTGTATAGTAAGCGTGCGCATGCCTTTCTGTCTGTCTGTCTGTCTGTCCCACTAGTCCCTAGAGTTTTAGTAATTCCCAATGGAAGGGAACAAAGAAATTCAAGCAATCTTTAAGCAGCTACCACGAGCTTCGTAATGTAATTTCAATTGATAAAGAAAAGTGTCAATAGATCAGTTAAGCAATCAGGTATTATACTAAATTGATGACCTTCCATTTAAGTATATAATTGTTAGTAATATTTAATATTTATAAATTTATTTAATCGTTTTCTTTTTCTTATCAAATTGCAGCTCGAAGTCGTGCAAGAAGGAGCTGTGGACACAGATTAATGCGGCGCTACAAAGCAATTCCAAATGACAAAGACTTGACTCCTGCAATCTGATGACGGCAACGGTTGCGGCTGCAGCTGCTGCTGCGGCTGCTGTTGCGACAACGGCAACAACAATTGCCAGCAGCAGTGAAGCTGTGTTGGCATCGCCGCCAATGCCGTTGGCAAAGGCAACAGCGGCGGGCAACAATAGCAGCAATATTATGAACAGCGGCGTCGGCATCAACAACAGCAATGCCAGCAACAGCAACAGCAACAACGTTGGCAACATCAGCAACATCAGCAACATTAATGGCAACAACAGCAGCAGCAACAACAGCAGCAACAACAGCAGCAGCAATGGCAATGGCAACGGCAACGGCAACGGCAACAGCAACAGCAACGATCAGACAACAGCGCAGGCGCATCATCATCATCATCATCATCATCATCGGCATCATCATTTGCTGGAGACGCCCACAAGCAATGCAGCCGTTGCTGCTGCAGCAACTGCAGTAGCGGCTGCAGCAGCGGCGGCAGCAGCTGCAGCTGCTGCCTCATCAACGGCAACAACAACAGCTTCTGCGCCGACAACGGCTCAAGTGTACGAGCGCCTTTGCCGTCCCAGCCACGTTGTGACGGAACAGCAACAGCCACATCAACAGCAGCATCAACAACAACATCAATCCCAACAACAACACCAGCAACAACAGCACCGACAGCAACAGCAACAGCAACAACAACAACAACAACAGCGAGCTGCCCAAGTGCCGACTGTGGGGCAACAGCGTTCAGTGGTGCCAGTGCAAATGCCACAGCTGCCTACAGCAGCGGGATCGGTGCCGGTGCCAGTCCCGGTGACATTGCCGTTGTCATTGCCGGCGCATGCTTATCAGACGATGCCTGCCGGCTATTATCAGGGCAGCACAGGGCGTTCGCTGTCGCATCATGCGCACCCACATGCTCATGCGCATGGCCATGCAACGCATCCGGCTGCACATCCGCACGTACATCCGCATGTGGCATATCATCAGCTGCCACCGCTGAGCCACTACCATCAGCAGCTTTAACAACGTATCGCAGGCGCTGTCCGCGGCTGCCCTGCAGCTCATGCTGCAGCTGCAGATGCAGCCACGCATCAAGCCAATGACGCAACAGCAGCAGCAACTACAAGTCCTGCCAACATCAGATGCTGCTGCCACATTGGCTGTGCGACTGCAGCGACCGAGCCATCTACAGCGCTGCCTTGAGCGCCGCACCGCGATGCTGCTGCTGCTGCTGCTGCTGGTCATTGGACTGCCACTGCTGCTGCTGCTGCTGCTCCTACTGCTACTACTGCTGCTGCGCCAGCAGCCATTTGACTAGCCAATGCAGTGTGATCTCAGCGCTGCGCCACGTTTTTACAACCCTCAAACACAAACACAAACACAAACACACATACACCACCGCACTTAGTTCATGTTATAGGTTATCTATTGCTCCACATATATATATATATATTTAGATATATATATGTATTTTTGCTGCTCATTAATTCATTTTTAGTTGTACAACACAATAGCAAAGCAGGAAACGGTTATAAACAACAATTACATAGATGTGTGTGCATATTTAGACTGAGATTTCTGCCAACAAACAAGCAAGCATTCACACACACAGACAGACACACACATACACACAGGTACATACACACACATGCACACAGGTACAGACACACACATACACACAGGTACAGACACACACACACACACACACACACACACACACACACACACACACACACACACACACACACACACACACACACATACATACACACACACACACACACACACTCACACACACACACTCACACACACACACACACACACACACACACACACACACACACACACACACACACACACACACACTCACACACACACACTCACACACACACACACACACACACACACACACACACACACTCACACACTAACACACACACTCACACACACTCACACACACACACACACACACACACACACACACACACACAGGTCCAAAAACACACACACACAGACAGACAACAGCTAAAACTCACTTCAAAATGTGTTCAGTTAAACTAACGTTATTTTAGACAACTACTTATCGATTAGTTATTATATATACATATATGATAAATCAATATATATATATATATAAACAATTTTTTTTTTATTTTTGCTTATGATCTAAATTTTTTCACACTAGACGTAACATTTTACACGTATCATATATTTTATATAATTTAAGGCAAATATATATATTTTTTCTTATATATATATATATTTATATATATATAAATACATATATGTATATATATATATATATATTATATAGAAATGCAAATGTAGCTAAGCAATTTTGAGGGCTTTTCAAATTTTTTATTCATTAAGCCAGACCACTCACCGATCAACTTATTAAAACATAAAACAAAATATTGTTATATTATATATCTATGTATATATATATATATATATATATATATATATATATATATATATTATAGAATTTTTAATTTCTTTTTCATATGCTAAATATTTGTCAGAAGAACTTTTTAGGTCAAATGTTTGAATTAAATAAAAACTTAATTCATATATTTGCTTAATTCAATTAAATTAGCGATACACAAATATTTAGCCGTTGAAAAAAAATATAAATAAATATATATGCATATATATACATATATACAGTTATATACACAGTTATATATAGATAACACATTTCTCTCATGATGCGAAACGAACAGAACGAAATGGAACAGAAACATAAAACAATTCAAAATACATAGTTTTAAATATTATTTTGTAATTTATTTTAATTAAAGACACAAACACACACACATACACACATACATGGGAGCATACACCTTTAGCTAAAAGACCGCGTGTCGTAGCAGCCAGCAAAATGTAAGAGAAATTCAGTTTTGGCTGTGCGGCAGTGGTAAAGGGTGGGAACACACACACACACACATGCAAACACATAGCGAGAGAGAAATATATTTTTTATTATAAAAAATGTATACATATATGTACACATACATATATATATATCTTTGCAGCCCATTTACATGTAAAGAGAACAAAGTACGAAAACAAAAAAAAAAACAGAAATAATTAGCAATTGTTTGTATTTGATTGAGTTTTATTTAGTTTATCTGAAACATAATTCATTTTCATCTTAATTGCTATCAATTCTTTTTAATTTATAACACATTTTCTTGCAAAAGAAACAAAAATACAAAAAAACAAAAAAAATGAAACAAATTTTTTTTATAAACACAAAAGAAAACAAAAATGCAGTTTTGAATAAATATGGTTTTTTGGATTTATTTCAAAACGCAGCAAAAAAAAAAACAAGAAACCAACAAAAACCGCAAGACACAAAAAACAACATTTTGTTTTATTTCATTACAATTTTTAGTTTTTGTTGCTTTTCGTTTGAGTGCCGCGTTGATACCGTTATGTGCTTATAATTTGCCTTTGTTATGGCCTTGCCACCTGGTTGAAAAATGAGCGTGCTGAGATCGCTGCTGCATAGGGCGAGCGAGCGAGCCATGGCACGCACGTGACACGAACATTACTGTTGAGCCAAAGCACGACTATCAATCAATGCGAACGCATACACACACACACACGCAGAGCTATTTCAATGAGAAACTGCCAAACTCTGTTAGAAACTATGTTAAAAAAAAATTAATTATGTATTTGTATATGTAATCAAGTCACGCTAAAAAGAGAGTGTCCCCAAGCAGGCGATGCTGTTGAGCAGTCACACCTGCTTGCCGCTGCTGCTGACGGTGCTGCTGCTGCATGCAGAGCATTTAACGTTGAGCATAAAACCCTGTAAATATGAAATAGTAATTAGACGAGTCTTATATATAAATATTGTAACTCTTTTTGTGTTTTTATATGCGTACATATATATATATATATATATATATATATATATATATATATATATATATATATATATATATATATATATATATATATATATACATATAAGTAAATATATACATAAATTCATGCATGCATAACTTATATACAAATATATATAAATATATATATATATATATACAAATATATAGAACTTAAAAATAAAAAGAAAAATATGAAAAATTTAGTGAATTCTGTAAGCAATCGCGTAAATTGTAAATTTTTAGTAAACAGTTTTATACAAGCGCAATCGAAAATGAATATATATATATACATATACATATACACTTACATGCTAACTGTAAAATGTAAATGAAATGGAAAACAAACTTCAGCGAAAAAAAAAAACAGTTTTTAAAAACATCAAATGCAAATGACATGAAACATATATATACATACATATATACAACTATTTATAGAGATCTAGTTACATATATATATATATATATATATATATATATATATATATATATACATATATATATATAAATATAGTTGACTTTTTTCCATGAAAAAAAAGAAACCTAAAGAAATAAGAAGAATTAGTAACAGTGCTTATTCGATATTACATATACATATATATATATATAGGATATACAATTATTGTACATTATACACAAACACACACACATCATCATCATTATCATCATCATCATCATCATCAACGACCATCGCATTGATAAAGAAAAAACCTATTTACAATCGCAACTTTTGCGCTCCTTTCCATAATTCCACTGTATGCTAATTGTAGACTTGATTTACTTACCTACATATACCCATATGTATATATACATATAAATATATGCGAATATTTATACATATAACGCTAAGCGCCCTTCCCATGCTCCCCGTTCGCCTCGTCTACATTTTTCGTAGCATACTTTTGAGCGTTCTCAGATTTGCAGCTTTCCTTTGCTGTTTTCAGATTTGCATTTACCAAAATCGTATGACAAAATGAATAATGCTGCCATATAACCCGCCTGCCAATCGGCGTTCTAACACCAACGAACCGTTTAAACCAACACCAATTTCATTCTAATATTCTATATAAATATTATAAGTTTTGAGCTAAAGGAAATCTTTTCTAAATGTTTGCATTAAATTGGA